ATCCAGTGGTTGACATCATGGGCATTGACCTACGAAATTGGGATACGATAACATCCATCAACAAAGTCAGCGAACCTGACCACCTGATCCCATCAGTCGCTGAAAGTGGCACATCGCACCCCTTTTTGAGAATCAGACCTGGATCTTTGACACATCAAGCAGTATTCAAAAATAAGGGATCCCTGGGGGTCTTTTATGCTGCTTGAGTTAAGTAAGACTTCAATACTTAACATAAGGTTAAAACCAAATGGACAAGGCTTCTTACCCTCACATTATCAATATATCAGGTTCTTATTCGTGTCAAATGCAGAGCAAAATATTAAATGGGTATTTGTTTTTGTAGGAAAGTTCTCCCCAGACAATTTCATATCAGCCTCTGAAATGCATTCACATTGCATATTGTTGACATGAATTATGTAAAATGATTAAAAAATAGCTCCAAGGAAATGCCAGCAGAAATGTACTGAAGGAAAAACCCAAGATCAGATTATGTGATTTCCTTTCCCTTGACATTTTCATTTCATGGAGTGATCACTATCAGAATACAGTTCATAATAAATCTAACCTCGATCATGACATCAACAAGAACATACATGAGTTAAAGTCTCAAAGTCTGTACTTACAAGCCCTGCTTCCTATGAACTGGCTTCAACGCACACATAAACCAACAAGAAGGTCACCTTGATCTCATTAATCAGGCCAGTGCTAACGCTTGGCCTGTCTGGGGTAACATACGTACTGGAGTCGGAAATGGCGAGTGAATGCATGTTGTTTTAAGCTATGGTCAGCAATAGTCCAAACATAGCAAGGCGGCTTGTAGATGGTCCGTCTGCCCCAGGTAAACCAGTGTTTGACAGCATGAGCACCAGTCCACATCGTCCGGGCACAATGACAGACAGGTCACACATCGTTACAGCTTGAGCCTATTTAATTAGCATGGGGTCTTGGGGATCTATCCACCCCAGAGGAATCAGGAGTTGAGTTCTTGAGGAAGTGTCTCAGATTCAGATAATGGCCAGTGATTGGTTAAAAGAATAGGATTCAGATCATGGCCAGTGATTGGTTGAAAGAATAAGATTCAGATAATGGCCAGTGATTGGTTAAAAGAATAAGATTAAGATCATGGCCAGTGATTGGTTAAAAGAAAAAGATTCAGATAATGGCCAGTGATTGGCTAAAAGAATATGATTAAGATTGTGGCCAGTGATTGGTAAAAAGAATAAGATTAAGATGATGGCCAGTGATAGGTTAAACAAATAAGATTCCGATGGCTAGTGATCAGTTTCTGATTTGAGTCAGTCATTAAAAAAAAAAAAATCTCTGAGATTCTGATCGTGGCCTGCGACTTGGGAAGAGAATATGAGTCACATAGGGACCAAGGTCCATTCCACCAAGCGATCCCAGTGCTACAACTGTCGTAACTCACATTCATTATGACTTAAGACAGTTGAGCGCCATGATCATTTTATGGGAACAGGGTCCAAGACAGGAAGAACAGTGCAAGATTCAGACAGACAGATGCAAGAGCCTGATCCAGATACAGGCCAGGGCTTGTTGAATTGAATAGTGTTAACTACACAAGCCTTTGTGTATGCCCATCCTATCAGTGTCTGAACTATGGAAACACAATCTGGCCATCATGACCACTCCTGAATCGGGCCAGCACCATCAGGAGATTGTCACAGCACCAACTGTTCCACACGTGGTTCCAAGTGGCATGTACAACGTTCCTTTGTCATGGGGGGCCTGAAGATCAGTAACAAATCATACCAATAACATTCCTGCCCTTCACACCTTCACAGCAGGAACTCGGAATCTTTTTTTTTACAAATCTGGTTTTACTTACATATTTATAATGGGTCTTTGTCATGGGATATTTGTAACCGTTTGTTTCTTGGGATATAAGTGAAAATGATACTTTCAGTTCTGACCTTTAGCATCTATCAGCCATTTGTTCTCAGTGCTCCTTTCCATTATATTGATGTGAATCAAACACACATGTCTCAAACCACATCCTTTTGACAGCTTTGCATTCCAAGCAGAAACTCACTCAGGATGTGCCATATTTCTTTACATTAGGTTACATGAATCTCGTAAATTGATGGAACATTTGAATGGGTGAATAAATAGAGAAACTTAGCTGTGTCCTTGTTGATATAAGATACATCAACACAAGATGAGAACTGCTTCAAAAAGCCAAGGCTTTCCGGTGATTTTAAACCTTTCAGTAACAAGAGTTGATATCAAAAGACATGAGGGAAACATGTAATTTGTCATCCAAAATCATACCAACTTTGGTGGTTGAGAGACATGTGATGTCATTGTGATGTCATAGTAACCGATGATGTCACAATGATCTGCAGAGCATTGTGATGCAATTTCAAAGTAGGATATCTCCTAGAAGATATCACTTTATCTGACCCAAAGGTGGTACTTGTTGTCTGGCTCCCAGGTATAAGGATATACAAGGACTTGTCGGTAGGCTTCAGCATACTGTGTCGGAGGGGGGCACCCTGAATGTTAACCTGTGGCATTGTAACTCAGCAGACTTGTACCATAAAACCACCATTTGTCCAGACTAGCTCACACGTCACTGTACAAGTGCAATAATTTTGAACGCGATGTTAAACCCTATCACACCTCATCTCACCCCTCCCCACTAATTACAATGTCTGGATCTGGACCAAACATAGCTACTTCACCGTGGTGCATTATATAAGTGATCCTTTAAAAACATCCACAAATAACCTACCCTATGTTTAAGCATATACTAAGCATGATAAAGGTTTGTCGGAACCATACCCGTGCTCGTGGTACTGGATACTGTTAAAAGCGGCGCTAAACCCAACTCACTCACTCACTCACTCACTCACTAAGCATGGTAACGACCATTCAACTATTACTCTGGGATAAAAAAAATTCTGTTACATAATTCTTTATTGATTCTGTGTTCATCACACCTGGACCTTTTGAACTTCTATTCTAGCAAGACAAGTAGTGAGAGTGAGTGAGTGAGTGAGTGAGTGAGTGAGTGAGTGAGTGAGTGTGGTTTTTCTCAGCTTTTAGCAATATTACAGCAATATTGCGGCGGAAGACCAGAAATGACCTTCACACATTGTGCCCATGTGGGAATCGAACCCGGGTCTTCAGCATGATGAGCGAACGCTTTAACTACTTGGCTACCCCACTGACCCTGAAGACAAAGTAAATCTTTCTCCCTGTTTGAAATCAAGCATCCTTGTCATAATCCTGATGTTAAAAGGAAAAGATTTAGGGGTCCCTTGATTCAAATAACAAAGTATATCTCAAAGACACCGGGACCCTCTTCATTTCAAACACTGTTTCTCCTATACAATATCTCATCCTGATGTCAAACAGTTGAAATAACTCATTGCTTGAATGCCCTGTAAATATTATAACCACTACACCAGTATCAAACAGGTTAGATGACTTTGCCCAGTGACCCATACAAAACTGCAAGGGTTAACGTTCTCTCAATACAAAACAATTGTACAAACTGAAAGTTCGAGTTTACACATCCGCTGGTAAGTAAACCAGGTCAAGTATCATATTAAATCCATAATTCTAATAAATTCTACCGCTCATTCAAAGATTACCCAAACACATCATATGAATACAATGTAAACGTTGAAATAATTAGACTCCATGATTTCATGTTAGGATATAACTAGAGTGGTCATACATAACCTCAAGACAGGGCCAGGATCTGTTCTTCACCTGCCCTGAATAAGGATTATTAAGTATACTGAAGATACAGAAAATTGATGTAGATACATAGCACTGGTAGGGGCCAGGCACTGCTTTTCACTCGCCCCAAATGAGCTTTCTTAATGTTACAATGAACAAAACTGTCACATGATCCTTCAAATAAACATTACACTAAAACTTGAACAAAGTGATCTGCAAATAGCTTGTTGGCTGTCTTGGAAATAACCCACATGTACTTACTGTAACTGTTTGGGCATATTAATTTAAACCAGTCAGCTGGAGAAAGCAATAACAGCATGTTGCACACAAACTTCTTTAAGAGACCATCTTGCAAACAGAACACCATGAATGAAACGACCAAACCCAACTGTACAAACCTCTCAAGGGAGGACTTTCATTCTATTCTAGAGTTTTATCGTCTCTACAGTAAATATGAAAACCAAACTTAAATACTAAATTCCAACCAGAAATTGGTTGATCATAAGTTATAAATGAAAACACACAAACACAAAAAATGTAAAAAAAATAATCAAAGTGCACATGTTTAAGTACATAAATCTTATATCTTTAGTGAAATCTTTGGGGAATTTAAAATGGATCCAAAGCAACTGATGAAACATATTTGAATAGCATGTATCTCAAGGCTCTTAAACCTTCTTCAGTACACATATACTGCTAAGCCAAGCCTAAGAGTCAGATAACCAAATCACAACAGCAAACACATGGTTAAGGAATCTACTGTTTACAGAGAACCTGGCACGTCTTGAACGGAATCCATACACGTAATTGAATTAAGATCTATTCAACAGGAAAATGCTATAATTCTGACTTTATCTTGTCAAAAACAGCTAACTATGTATTTCCCTTCAGCAGATCAAATGTACGGCAGATGTGTTGGCATATTACTTTATCTACTCCTCTGTTGACTTAAGTAAGCTTAGAACAGGGCTACGACCCTTCAGGATGACTTGTAAAAGAGGGGATGAACAGATTGAGAGATAACATGTAATCCTTGAGAAACATCCCTTTCATCAATGGCTAACATGATGACTCATACATCTACAACTGAGAACAACAACAAATAAAACTTTCAAATCCTACATTAAATATTAAACCAATTTCCTAATTCAAAATGTCATACAAAGGTTATAGGATTTTTTTGTCGACAATGACTCATGGCAGTGATTAAGAAGGAAGGTACAAGGACAGCATCAATGAATGAAACTGAAAAAGATAGATAAAAGAACACATTGAAAAACTATAAGACTTACAATTGGGCTTGTCATCAATTTCCCAAACGTCATTTCTCCTGGTTGAGCTTGGAGTTTGCGTATCCTCTTAGAATTCTCCATACTGATTCCGTGCAGACGACACACACTGAATACTCTTTCATGTACCTCAGCTAGAACATGTCAAAATGACAAACACCGCCCTTGTTTTTACGACCAGGCCATGCTGTTAATCCACGCAACAAAGACACGGCACCATCGATAGATATGATATTCTGTCACTGAGCAATGATGTCACAGTCTGAACTCTGCCGGCCACAGGACAGAGGTGAGTATGCTGTAGCAGCTAGCCGCTTGATAGCAGGACTAGCAGACGGAAGGAAGCAGACGGCAATGTTACTGCAGATAGGCTAGGCTAAGATGTGCACTCTCTACTTCAACCGGGTCAAGACTACCTCGCTTCCCAAAGCCCATCCGTTCACGCATTTAATGAAGCCTCAGTCCTGTTTTCCTTGATAAGGAGCTAGGTGAAAACACAGAAAGGCAATTCCAGGTCTGTTCACCCGAGCTGGAATAATTTGTCTCTGTCACAGCCTCATCTTAGAACAAGCAGCTGCCATGTATTAACATCCAAATTTCCCCATCCGTTGAATTTCAAATTAAAATTCAGATTCCTTTCCTGAGCTGAGTGCGAACACGGATGTACACAATAGAGCCAAGATGAGAATGATCATACATCAGATTGGGTAATGGAAGCCTCGTCAATTCTGCCCGGTTACCCGTGTGAGGCTGGGCTGTCTTATTGACTAGCCGGTGGTTGGAGGGGCGCGTGCTGGAGACAAAAGTGAAGCAGTGTCTCGTCACCTAGTGTGTATATACTGGTTACTGGTCGAGCGGGCAGTTGTCTCTTTGTATGTAAATCTTACGCTGTCTTCATTCACAATATGGGCTGACACACTGACACTTCACTCATCACGAAAGCTTGACTTCAGTCAACACAATTCATCACTCATGCATGACGGGAGTAGGGCAAGAAGAAGCATCTTTTAGGAAGTCTGTCAAGCATTTTTGTGTGTTTTTTTCAAAAAGAAAACTATTATCAGGACACAAAATTGTCAAGGTCGTAAAAACACTAATTGATCATAATTTGCTTCGTTGAAATAACGACAATCAATCAGTGAGTTTTACTACTGGAGGTAAAGCTGTTTCACAAATACTCCTAAGAGATCAAATATATTTTTTCGATGCCAAATTCAAGCACACAAAGCTGCAATTTATGGTATGTGTGAAATGTGGACACTAATCCATTGGGATAATCTTGTTTCTTTTTTACTAGAAGCACTGAGACTTTCATTGCATGAACAAAGACAATAGCAGAGATGCACACAAAGAAGGACCACAATGACACAAGCCTGATGACAAAATCAGTCTCCAGTTCATCACTCACTGCTCAAACTTCACAAATCCATCTTCGAAATTGGAAGAAAAAAAATCAGTAACCATAGCAATTTGAAGGTCATGTTGACAGAAGCGAAATCAGTTTTGATGTAAAATTAACATTACACATGTTTTCTCCCTAATTTTATAATTAAGACGAGATCTTTTTCATCATGTTCATATAAAATATTTTTTTAAATTTGATTATATCCAACTTTATTTTTATAGAAAATTTGACAATTTGTTGATAACGGCTAACAAAAGATAAACAGAAAAGAATTTCATTGCCTGTGGACAAAAATCTTTAAACAGTTTCATTAAAAAAAGAATATAAAAGGAAAATGTTTAATTTCAATAACATTATTCCAATGCAAGTAAATATTCCAATAACTACAAAAATCCATATTAAAACATCAAAGCAAAAATACCCCTACATAAATCTCTACAAAACCCGACTTGTTCAGTGAAAACATACGTAGGTATCTTTCACTCGATCCACAATAAACTATTTTCCCTGCGAGCAGACGTGAAAGTTTCCTTTCCTTGACTGTGGCCCAGCGAGTTTCAAGTAGCGAGTTTCCTGTGTTTCCCTTCCTTCACAGATGGCGTTGTATACACTGAACCATGCACTTCATGCACAGCTTTCCACACACTCCAAGTTTTGTTGCAGAACATAGGACGTCGATCTACATCTGTCTGTTTCAACGTTTGCTCAGCTATCTGTTGTTGTACTCAGTGCGAGGGTCTAGTGGCCAAATTTGTCCCACAAGACAGCACCACCAAATCTTTTCACACATCACCTGGCTTCAGATACAGTCAAGTTTAAACATGCTTTTTTTCTCCAATATAGATTCTGCCCAAACGACCTGTTTTTCTGAACTCTCACCTGCTTCCCAAATGTTTAGCCTCTTTTCAGTGTAACATTCTTAGGGTTAGACACAGCTACAAGTCTGCCAGTCAATACCAGTGAAAATCTGCAAGGACTAAATGGTGTCCACCCAAATCTAGTTAAGTTACATAACTAATTATTTTTATGGTATCTACCTAACTGTTTTCTCAGCTACATATAGTTGGTTGGTTTGTTGTTCAACGCCGCACTCAGCAATATTCCAGCTCTATGACGGCGGTCTGTAAATAATCAAGTCTGGACCAGACAATGCAGTGATTGATATCATGAGCATCGATCGGGATCGATGACATGCATCAAGCAAGTCAGCAAGCCTGACCACCCAATCCCATTAGTCGCCTCTTACGACAAGCATAGTCGCCTTTTTCGGCAAACATGTGTTGTTACATATGGTGCAATGTAAGTTTCCCATATATCTATAAAGTAAATAAGATTTCTTATCTTCAGACATTTTTGTCAAACTCACAGACAAAAGATATCTAACAACTAAACTTCCAAATACAACAAATCCTAACATTTGTGATAAATTTGCATCCCATAAGATGAAAGTGATAATTTGAAAATTGAAACAAATCATCACCGAATCCTCATTTGAGATTAATGTATCGAGTCTGGACCAGATAATCAAGTGATTGACATCAAGAGCATCGAAACAGCAATTTGGATACAATGACATGCATCAACCAAGCCAGAGAGTCTGACCACCTGATCCTGTTAGTCGAATCTTACAAAAAGCATAATCTGACGGAGGACTTATTCTAACCCAGATCTTCACAGGTGGAGTGAACCAATCACAGGGGAGGTTGGCATGCTTGGTGTCTTAGAAGAGGGTGTTTTCACCCCTGCACAACCCCAAACCCCTACTTGATCTGCTAGGGATAACTTCCGGCAACCTTAACACTGCCAAGGTGCATCCCCCAATCCGACTACAAAAATCGCCAAAGTTTCAACAATGAATGTCAAAATCATAGACACCTCCCTCTAAAAGGTGAATGAAACTTGTTTTCAAATTCAGCTAACAATTTTATCTGGTTGCAAAGCAGCGTGTGTACGTCACAGACACGTATCTCCACACAGATTTATTGATACGGAGGCAACAAGCAGCACTACATCACCTAGGTGGATTACAAGACTGCCCAGAAAAAACAGTTCCATGTTGATCTACCTGCAGACTTTCTCTGCCGAGAACACATTACCGTAATTGATGCAATAATCTCTTGCCCAGAGGCGGCCATTTCGATCCTTGAGTCGTTACAAGACATGCCTAGTTTGCCAGCTAAGTCAACAACTACCTTAATCTGAGACAAAGTAAACGGGAACAGCCGTACCGTATTCACCGTATTAAGTGCCCTGCTCCAATAAGTGCCCCCTGACAACTACTAGACCAATCAGTAGCGTCAGTGAGTATGGTTTTACGCCACTTTTTGCAATATTCAAGCACGGCGGGGGACACCAGAAATGGGCTTCACACATTGTAGCAATGTCGGGAATCGAACCCAGGTCTTCGGTGACGAGCGAACGCTTTAACCCCCCCCCCCCATACAAAGCTAAAACATTCACATGACATTCCATATTTTCTTGGGTATTTTATAGATTTCTTTTTTTTAAAACAGCAGTGAAGAAGGGGTATAAACTTGCCTTGAAACTATCCAAACTTTATACATGTTATAGCTCATAAACAATTGAGTTTAGTTTACCACCTGATCTCTGACAACAAAGTTATTGTGTTGAGTATGATTAATTTTTACGGCAAATACATTTGTCAGTATGTTTATTTGTTCTTTAACACCACATTCAATAATATTAAGCTATGAAATGATGGCCTGTAAATAATCAAGCTTGGACCAAACAATCCAGTGACTGATATTATAATCACCCACGCCATCAAGTAATCGACCTGTCCCTATGACCACCCAATCCATACGGTCGCCTCTTACTTCAAGTATACTTTGCTGCGGACCTTTTTCTACCAGGTCCACACAGGGTCCAATAAGAAAGTTCACAAAAGCCCTTTAATACATGAGATTCCGGGGTAGAATAGGTCTTTAGCAACCCATGCTTGTCGTAAAAGGCGACTAACGGGATCAGGTGGTCAGGCTCGCTGACTTGGTTGATGCATGTCCTTGATCCCAATTGTGTGAATCAATGCTCATGATATTAATCACTGGATTGTCTGGTCCAGACTCGATTATTTACAGACCGCCGTCATATAGCTGGAATATTGCTGTGTGCGGCGTTAAACAACAAACCAACCAACCAACTTTAATACATGAACTATGGTAAGCACACTTCAGGGATTTGGCATATCTGAAATACAGGCCACATCTCAAGCATGTCTCTAATCAAATCAAGCCAGACGCTGGTAAATAAACAGCTCTTTCAAGTGATTTATGAATGAAAATCTATAGTCAACATAGAAAATATGTAACAGGAGAAGTTTGCTTCGTCTTGTTCTGGATTTTACATTACACCAATAAAAACCAATAACATTGAGGCATGAGAGCTTTCCAGGGAAAAACATGAGTTTCTAATCCATGTCAGGATCTGAAGTTTCCTTTACATATAAATTGCAGATTTGCAATGTATGCTAAAATGTTTGCTGTATTATTATGATCCCGGTCAATGGATCTATTTTTCCTTCTGACCCCTTCCGTGGTCCAGTGGTAGACCACCGGAGGTTCGATCAGCAGCCGCGTCATACCAAAAGATGGTACGTGTGGTTCTTTCGTGTGAGTGTGGTTGCTTGTACTAGTCAGGACTAATGCTGATTTTATAGAGCTTGCCCACTGAGATACCATGCCTAAGTTTAACATAAATACCCTACTCAGACACAGTATACTGACTCTGAGCCGACCAGTTCTTGTTTTAGCCCCTTAATGCTGAGTGCCAGGCAGGGTAACAACAAATACAAACACATGCAAGTCCCCATGTCATCAATCCCAATTGTGTGGATCGATGCTCATGATGTCAATCACTGGATTTGGTCCAGACTCGATTATTTACAGACCACCGTCATATAGCTTAAATATTGCTGAGTGTGGTGTTAATCAACAAACAAACAAACAAACAAAACATGCACGTCGCTATGTAGTGCAATAATCACGAACGCGACGATTAACCCCATTTCACCTCACCTTACCACCTATTTTTCCTTCTCTGCTCCCTGGGGACTATACAACCCAAGCTGATAACTGGGATCAGTAGTCATCCTACAGATCGATCATGTCCATTGAATACCGTATTCGACATAATAAGCGCCCAGGGCGCTCTCAAAATTAGAAATAGCGGCTCTTATTAGAATATTATTTTGGTGAAAGATCGTAAATTTCGTGGTTAATGCTGACAGCCTGATATGAAATGTTTAAATACGACAGATATATTTTTCCATTATTTAATTGCCCATAATTATGGGTGCATATAACACACGAGTACGTATTATACAATCTTGTGTACATTGATCAATCAGAAGGGGTGCTAATTGGGATTGTTCCCTGGCCAAAATATCAGCAAATATCGCCATGGGCGCTTATTACGTCGAATACAGTAATCAGGAGAAAGGGACTCAGTATG